ATATGAGAAGGAAATTAAAGGAGTACTAATTGGAAAAGAAGAGGCTAAACTATCACTTTTTGCAGATGATATGATACTATACCTAAGTGATCCCAAAAGTTCCACCAGGAAACTAACTGATCAACACTTTCAGTATAGTGACAGGTTATAAAATCAATCTACAAAAATCAGTAGCCTTTCTATATTCCAATAACAAGCAACTCCCATTCACAGTTGCTGCAAAAAAATATCTTGGAGTAAATCTGACCAAAGACACCAAAGAGCTCCACAATGAAAATTTTAAATCGTTAAAGAAAGAGATTGTGTAAGACACCAGGAGATGGAAGGACCTCCCATGCTCATGGATTGGAAGAATTAATATTGTGAAAATGACCATCCTACCAAAAGCAGTATATAGATCCAATGCAATCCCAATCAAAATCCCCATGACATATTTCACAGAATTAGAAAAAAAATCCTTAAATTTGTATGGGAACATAAAAGACCCCAGATAGCCAAAGCAACCATGAGCAAAAGAGCAATGCTGGGGGAGGATTACTATACAAGGTCTCAAAGTATGCTACAGAGTATAGTGATAAAAACAGCATGGTAATGGTACAAAAATAGACACCTAAGGCCTGGAGAGGTGGCTCAGCAGTTCAGAGCACTGACTGCTCTTGTGGAAGACCTAGGTTTGATTCCCAACACCCACATGGCATCTATGAACAGTTGTTAAATCCAGTTCCAGGGGAATTCGGAGCCCTCTTCTGACCTCTGTGGCATTGCATGACACAGGTACACTCACATACATGCAGGCAATGCACTCATACACATAAAATATAAATAATAAATAAAATATTAAAAATAGACACATAGATCAATGGAACATCATTAAAGACCCAAATCCAAGTACACACAATTTCAGCCACCTGATATCTGACAAAGGTGCCAAGAACACACAATGGAGGAAAGACAGCATCTTCAATAAATGGTGCTGGCAAAACTGGATCTCCACGTGTAGAAGAATGAAACTAGATCCTTATCTTTCACCTTGCACAAAAGTCAACTCCAAATGGATCAAAGACCTCAATGTGAAACTGGAAACCCTGAAACTATTAGAAGAAAATATTGGCAGTAACTTACAAGCTGTAGGTGTAAGAAAGGATTTTCTAAATCGGACAGAATTTGCTCAGGAATTAATGTCAGCAAATCAACAAGTGGGACCTCATTAAACTAAAAAGCTTCTGTACAGCAAAAGAAACAGTCAAAAAAAAGGGAGAAAATCCACAGAATGGAGAAAATCTTCACCACTGACACATCTGACAGAGGTTTAACATCTAGAATACATAAAGAACTCAAAAAATAAAGAATGGAGAAACCAAATAATCCAGTGAAAAAATGGGCTAAAGATCTAAAAAGATAGTTATCAAAGGAAGAAATAAAGATGGCTAAGAAACATCTCAAAAAAGTGTTCAATATCGTTAGTAATTAGGGAAATGCAAATTAAAACCACCCTAAGGTACCACCTTACCTCAGTCAGACTGGCTAGGCTCAAGAGAACAAATGATACCAAACGCTGGACAGAATGTGGAGAAAGGGAACACTCATCCACTGCTGGTGGGATTGCAAACTTGTGCAACCCTATGTAAAGCAGTGTGGAGAACTCTTTAAACAATAAAAATGAACCTACCATTTGACCCAGTTAAGCACTCCTTGGCATATGCCCAAAGAACTCATCCTCCTATTGTAGAGACACTTGTACAACCATGTTTGTTGCTGCTCTTTTCACAATAGCTAAGAGTTGGAAGCAACCTAAGTGCCCCTCAACTGATGAGTGGTTAACAAAACTGTGGTATATTTACACAATGGAGTTTTATTCAGCAGTAAAGAAAGGTGAAATAATGAAAATTTCAGATAAGTGGATGGATCTAGAAACTGTTATACTAAGTGCAGTAACAGACTCAGAAAAACAAATGACGTATGTTCTCCCTCACATGTGGATCCTGGCACCAAATCCTTTTAAAGTCCAGGTCCTTTTAATAAGATGATGCTGTACAGCAGTCTCTTCTGCATGAAATAACTACCATCGTCATGACTTCAACTGAGCCTGATCGCTAAACATCGTCACAATTGAGCTTGTTGAAGTTGTGCTTATTCATTAAAGGAGGGCCAAGTAGGGTCATTGGATCCTCATTGGATTATCCAGCCACTATTCCCAGCCACCTGTATGTAATTTGGCCCTAATCACACATGGCCTCCTGAATTTAGGGAGGGCTAAAGTATATAATCTGGGAAAGGCTAGGAAGAGAAGGCATGACCCGTCCTGGGTAAAGGCTTTCCAATGTGCATACCCTCTGGTCATACATATACCTCAGCAACCCATTAGTTATCTCGAAGCCTTTGAGAGGGAACTGACACTGATTCTAACCACTCCAACAGCTATCAGAATACCTGAAAGTAAATCCTGAATCCATCACTCTCGAGACCAGCCTTGGCAGAAAAAGAAAAATGAGTAAGAAGCCAATAGAGGGATGCTTTTGGAAGCCCTTGTGAAGAAATTCCAATGGACTCATGAACATTTGAAAATTTCCCTGTTCTGACTTTTTTCTAGTTCCCTGTCTAGAACTTGTAATGCTAATTACTCATGTCTTTACTTCTCCTTCACATCTCCTTTGCAGCATTCAAGGACTTTCTTTTCCTCCTACAGATAAGAGTTAGGCAATTTGGGAGTCTTTTAGCTAGATCCAATGAAGGGGTACTCCAATTGCCTCACCCTGCTTCCCTGTTCAACATGGAAGAAGCCAGAATGGTCTGTGTCCCCATTCTCTGTCGGCAAGTTAGGTAACCTCTTCAGAGGATGATACGAATAGCAAGTAGGAATTGGCTGGGCAGTTAGGGAAAAAAGGCCCCAAAGAAGAGTAGCCAGTTTCTTGGCTAAAACTCACAATGTCCTTGGGCCTCTTAGCAGCATACTCCATTCCACAGGCCAAAAATGTTGAAAGTATTTGGGAGGTTTTAATCTAATCCTTAAGAGATTTTAGGGTTACCTCTTCAGAGCGGGGAATGTTAGAGCACCTAAAAACCCCATATAAATAAAAAAAAGAGTACATAAAAAAAAAGAAAGAGGATTTTATCAGAAAAGAAGTATTCTCAAGATATGTGAACCAATATTCTAGGAATAACTTCTCTTTTCCAACAAAATCTTTACAGAATTGTAGATAAGACTGCAAGTCCTAGGTCTATCTTGCTATTATCTTTCAGAGTGATTGTATAATGAATTAATACATGTAAATAATTCAGTGTAGAGCTTGTTCCATAATATATGTTGAAATACCTGCTTTTACTAAGGACAACAACAAAAAGAATCTAAGGAGTCAATGGATGAAGTGGCATGAAACTTTTAAGACAGTAGTGAGGTTAAATGCTTAAAACTTGTAAATGCTCAACTTTTGAATATCTTTACTATAAAGTTTGAGCATGCACCACAAAAAAGCTAAAAAAAATCAACAAGCAAACAAAAGCATGCTCTGTTATAAAAACTTATTAATGCATGCCTTTAGTCCCAGAACTCAGGAGGCAGAGGCAGGTGGATCTCTGTGAGTTCAAGGCCAGCCTGGTCTGCATAGCGAGTTCCAGGCTAGCTGGGGCTACAGGGAGACCCTGTCTCAAAAAGACCAAAAATAAATAAATAAAGGAGGAGGAAGATAGGAAGAGACAGAGAGAAAGCCATGCCCTCCGTGAGCAGCCACTTGGCAAAGGCTGGGGGTCGGGAACCTTCAGAGGAAGACTGAGGAAGCCCAGAGCACTGGGGAAAGCACGCCCAGGTTGGTCAGTATCCAAAAGAAAGAAGAAGAGACGGGAACGGAGGAAAAGCGGGAGCTGTGAGTGTCTGAGGACTCAAAAAGTGGTCAGGTCACGTGGCAGAGCCTCGGCGGTGCTGCCCATGGGAGCGCTGCAAGTGTCTGCGTCGACTTTAAAAATCATTGATTTATCATTATTAGTATTTTGTGTGTGTGAATGCAGTGAGTGTGTGTGTGTGTGTGTGTGACACTGCCTGTGTGGAGGCTGCAGACGACTTTATGGAGTAGGCTCTCTCCCTCCACTTTTCCATGGGTTCTGGGGATTGAACTCAGGTTGTGAGGCTTGTGCGGTGAGTCCCGTTTCCCCCTGAACCATCCCGCTAGACCTGGACTTTAGGCTTTTAACAGAATCTCCAACAAGTATGGACTTTGGGGCCTTTGGAATGCAATGGATGTGCTTTGTATTGAGACAGAAAGTGGTGGGAGTGTGTCAGACAGAATGGTCAGGGCAGGACAGACTGGCTTCCTTTGTGAGCAGAGGTTACAAGAGGTGGACGGAGGGTTATACGCAAACACGGTACCATTTTCTATGAGGGACTTTAGCCCTGGAGAGTTTTGGTACCCCTGGAAGAAACTCCCTATAGATGCCAAGAGATGACAGTACTACCTGTCAGTTTCCCAAGACCTGTGCTATAGAAATGATTCACACTCAAGACCACCATAGGGACCATCATTTTCCCTTCCCACCTAACCCAGTGAATGGGTCAAGGTCGTTCTCTCTGAAAGTCAACAGAAGGAAGAAAACAGGTTGAAGCTGGGTCACAGGAAGGAGGACTCGTGGTTGAGATGCCAGGGAGAGCTGGCTAGACTGAAGAGTATGGGCAAGGATATATATAGTCTCCTGTACCCTAGGCTGGTCTCCAACTCGATATGTAGCCAAGAATTACCTTGAGTTCCTGATCCCCCTGCCTCTGTTTCCCCAGTGTTTTGATTATAGGCATGCTCCCCACCCCAACTGAACAGGACTGCTGTAGGGCTTAGGACATCTAGTCAGTGAAGACCCTGTTTGGGTTGTGGGCCCTTCAATTCCTGGTTCCTCAGAAGGGGAAGGGAGGACTGGGCAGGAGGTGCTAATTACCAATCTATATCTAAGTGTTTTCATAGTTTAGCAATGAAGTGCGTGCTGACTAACCACAACTCGGTTGTCCTGATGCTTGGCAGATTCGACAAAAATATGGAGATGTGTTCACAGTGTACCTGGGACCAAGGCCTGTGGTCATGCTGTGTGGGACAGAGGCCATACGGGAGGCTCTGGTGGACCAAGCTGAGGATTTTTCTGGCCGGGGAACAATTGCTGTGGTTGAACCAATCTTCAAGGACTATGGTAAGAGTCTCAAAGACACTGGGATGGGGTTGGATGGTGGATGGTTCCAGAAATGTGAATCTGAGAGAAGGGAGGCAAAGGTGGGAAGGACCCAGATTTCTTTGAATTTCCTCTGTAACGTGTGCTTCCCTTCCATCCCTAGGTGTGGTCTTTGCCAGTGGAGAACGCTGGAAGGCCCTTCGGAGATTCTCTCTGGCCACCATGAGGGACTTCGGGATGGGGAAGCGGAGTGTGGAGGAGAGGATTCAGGAGGAGGCGCAGTGTCTGGTGGAGGAGCTGCGAAAATCCCAGGGTGAGTGCCAGAGCATGGGGAGGAAAGGAAGATGGTGAGACAGGGACATGGTGTACTGTAAATCAAATTCACTCCTGGGAGGTGCACGTGGCATCCAATCCCCTCCTCCCTTGGTCCTTGTGACAGCCTGAGGAAAAAATTCTCCAAACCCTAGTTTGAAGAATTTTTAGTGAGTTTATTGGACTTAATAACTGAGCTTGGGGTGTGGGTTTACTTACAGACAAGCGGGCGCCCCCCCCCACCCCCAGCTGTGTTCGAAAGTCCACACCCAGACATAAATCCTGTGGTTCAGGACAGCCTTACAAAATGGTGAGAGACAGGCCTCATGGTTTTCTCAGCTTTTATACTCTTAGCTCCTCTCTTGCAAGCAGCTATGGTCAACCAATTGGCTGGAAGAGAGAAGGGGAGTGGCTTCTTTGCAGAGCGTGGGAAGGAGGCAGATCCATGGCTTGTCATCACAGGGTCAGAGGAACATCCTCTGGGCCACACTCTCCACCCCTTCCTCTGGCTCTCACAAAACTTTCCACCCACCCCTTCCTCAAATACCCCTGAGCCTCAGAGGGAGTGGGCTGACCTTTCTCCCATTGTAATAGGGCACTGGACTCTTCAGGTCTCTGCATCCTCTGTTTGTCACGGGCTGATGGCTCGATTTAGTGGCATTCCACCTGCTATAAAAACACAAACAGCAAGAAGCAAGAACATGTAAACAGTAACTGCAATAATAGCTCATGGGCGTAAACACAAATGCCTGGATGGTACTTTGGTAGGCACATCACATCCATCTAACAATACAACTGCAGTGGCTTCTCTACTGGGGCCTATAACCTCTCCTGCCACAGGGGGTTGGCCTGGTCTACAATACCAGATGTGTGTTCCATCCCTAGGAGTGGGCATTAGGTCCAATCTATAATTAGCTGGTTGTACATACACTAGACGAGCCACTATTGCACCAGCAGGAACATTTTGCTTCACATGTTGATAGTGCAGCACACAGGGTCCTTCATTGAACAGGATAAGGGGGGACAAGTCTCCCCCAACCATTTGCATAGTACCTTCTGGCACTATGAAAGTCACTAATCCAGTGGCAGGGAGTTTCCAGCTTAGTCCAAGCTTGATTTTTCCCTCTCCCGTGCTCACATCATGCAGCGTCTTCAGCAATAGGGTCTTACAGTCCACTTCAGCTGTGCAACCAACATTATTGGCAATCACCTTTATAGTTTTGGGGACCCTTTGGCCAACTGCTCATAGGGCGGCAACCCACCCCTGGTACTGGGAATTTCATTTAACAACCTTATGGCTCTGGAAGGGCCTTTATCCACCCCCGTAGGATTCCTTCTGGGCTTAAGTCTTTCAACTGTTCCTTCAGCAACCCTTTTTTTTCTTTCAATTAACCTTGTTCCTGTAGGATTGTATGGAAGGTGGAAATACCATTGAACCTGATTATCCTCAGCCCAAGCTTACACATCTGTACCTGTGAAATGAGTGCCTCTGTCGCTATCAATTCGCCTTGGGCACCCGTGCATGACACTGAGTTCAGTAAACCCCTTAATAGTAGCTTTGCCTGTCACTCTCTTGCAAGGAAAGGCCTGTGTAAGGCCTGTGGCAGTGTCCACACAGGTGAGAGCATATTTACACCCTCGCTGCCTGGGAGGGGCCCTATATAATTTACTTGCCAGTCTCTCACAGGGGAAGCTGCCTTGTGCACGTGTCCCATCGTGGCATCTATCCTCTGGGGCTGTAACCAGGAACACGCCTTGCAGGCCTGGACAGCCTGTTGGATGTCAGCATTTCTTACCGGAATGCCGGCTGCCTTGGCTGTTCTCCATCCCATGTCGGCTCCTCTGTAGCCCAACTTGATATGAATCCAGTGAGCTGCTTCTAGGGGAACCTAAGGGCAGACAGACCTCACCTTGGTGAGGGCATCAGCTTTCTGATTCCCAGGGGGACTCACCAGGTGGTGGGCAGCCACATGGTAAACTATCAGAGGCACTAGCTCCTGCTTTATTTTATTATATATGTCCTTCCACATTTGTTGTCCCCATAGTGGCCGTCCCATCACCTCCCACTGAGCCATCCATAAAGTTAAGCCCTTGAACACCGGCCAACTGTCAGTACAAATTGTTACTGGCCAAGGCTCCCTTGTTATTACTATCCATACAGCTCTTAATCCAGCCCATTGACTTCTTTCTCCTTCTGTCCTTTCTAACCATATAATGTCAGTGTTCACCTGTATTGCCACTGCTACCAACTCTTGTCTGGCACCCTTGCTGGTGCCATCGGTATACCAGGCATCAGCGGGAATTGGGGGAGCCCCTTCTAGCATTCGATCAGGTCTTGCTAGAGGGTCAACTATAAGAGGTGGAAGGAGAGGCTCTGTGCCTTGAAATGACACTGGTCCTAGTACTGCTTGCATGGCATTGGTGATTGGGCTTGCTGACACCACCCCTCGCTGTTGCAAATATGCATGCCATCTTTGCAGTGTTTGGTTTGGGCCACCCCTGACAGGGGCTTGGCTAACAGGCCCTCCACCCATCCTTTTATAGGATATGCAGTTTTTACAGTAATGGGGGTGTGGCCCGTAATGGATTCCACCTGTTGCAATGCTTTGTACACAGCCAGAAGTTGCTGTTCTAGTGCTGTGTACTGGGACTCTGCCCCTTTCCATGACTGGGACCAGAACCCAATTGGGATCGTCTGTTCCAGTTGTTGTTGCCATAAACCCCACCTATAACCTTCAGGGCTCCTGGTCACTTCCAAGAGGAAGGGACACCAAGGTATTGGGACACACAGCTGCTTAGCTTGCCCAATCAGTACCTTGGCCTGCTTCAAAGCCTCTTGGGCCTTTACATCCCAATCCCATGTAGCACCTCTTTTTCTTAGATTATACAGAGGGTGGGTAACCTGAGCAAGGTGAGGCATAAAAATTCACCAATACCCAAGAAGTCACCCAAGTACCTTTAACTGCTTAGCATTTATTGGTACAGGCTGTTGTAAGATTTTCTGAACTGCTGCACTGAGTATCATGCGAGTTCTGCCATAAAACTCCTAAGAATTTTACCGCTGTACTGGGCCCTTGTACCTTCTGTGGGGTGGTTTCCCATCCTCACTCCTTCAGGTGCACCTGCATGTTCCCTAAATGAGCTTCCAAATCTGTAAGGCACTCAGAAGTTAGCATTATGTCATCTACGTAGTGGAACCTCCTTACAGGAGGAGGGCAGGGTAACAGGGCCAGGTCCCGGGCCACAGCCCCGTGACAAACCATGGGGCTGTGGAGGTAACCTTGGGGAAGTACTCTGAAAGTCCATTGCTGTCTATTCCATGTGAATGCAAATTGATCTTGGGATTCAGCAGCTAGGGGAATACTAACGAATGCATTAGCAAGGTCCACCGCAGCGTGGAAGGACCCCATTTCCTGCACCAGCTGATCAGTTAGCAGTGCAGTGTTGGGCACCACTGCATGAATGGGAGGCACCACCCTATTTAACTCCCGGTAATCTACAGTCATTCTCCAGGAGCCATCTGGCTTCCTGATAGGCCAAACCGAGCTATTGAAAGGGCTCTGGGCTGGGTGGATAACTTCTACTCACTCTAGTTCCTGGATGGTTTCAGTAATTTCATCTTGACCCCCAGGCAGCCAGTACTGTTTGATATTCACCACCCTCCATGGGGTGGGCAGTTTGATCGTCTCCCATCTTGACCACCCCCGAGTAATCACCTTTACTGTTCACATCCTCAGCTGAAACTCTCCCACAGTAGTATGTAGGGTGTGACACAGCAGGGCATCCACCCCTAAAATGTTCTCTTGAAGGGGAGAGATGCACACCTTGTACTCCTTGGGGGGCGGTGATTGCCCACTCCCAGAATGAGTCTAGTCCGCTTTACTTGTATGGTTTTATCCCCATACCCATCCACTGCTATCCACTGGCCCTTATGTTTTTGGGGATTGCTGTGAGTTAATGTACACTCTGCCCAAGTATCCACTAGGGCCCACATGTTTTGTATATTAGTGGGGGACCAATAAATCCTCAATTCGACATGTGGCCTCTGGTCACCCAGTATGGCCATCACCTGTGGGCAACTTTGGCCACCCCTTTAAGGCAGTGGTTGGGGGAGGGTCCCATCCAATGAGGCTACCTTCCTCTGGAGCAGGGGGCGCAGTTGGAGTTACCCACACCTCCTGGTCCCCAGTTTCTCTTACTTCTGTGGTGAATTGCTGGTCAGGTCTTAAAGTCCTCCACAGACTCACCAGCACAGCATTTGGCTGCCCGTCTATCTTGTCCCTAGCAACCCCTGCTCTGTGCAGATCCATCCACATCTGTGCTTGAGAGACACAGAGAGACCCCTTTCCTGAGTTCTGGCTCTTTTCCCTTGTGTCTACTCACTTCAGCACCTTTCGAACCCTGTTTATATGTTGGCCTAAATCATTTAAATCTGCCAGAGCCTCGCCAGCTCCATACAGGTCATGCCCAACCATGGGGCTTAGCACTGCCACCAAAGCTCCATACCAGTCTCGTTGGCCTTGCTGAATCAGTTTCTTTCTTAAGTCTCATGTAAACACAGTCCTGTCTGGGCCCGTGAACTGGGCATCAAATACAGCTTCCCTCATGCCCAGTTCCCTCAACAGAGCCTGTCCTTCGTCAATGGTTTTCCAATCTCTAATATTCATGGGACTCTCAGCTGGAGATACCCATGTATCCCAAATGGCTCATATGAGCCAATCCATCATGGACTGGTTTCTCTCATATTGTCTTAAGTTGTGAAGCCTTTGTCTCAAGAGGGATGAGTAGTTATGTTGCTTAACTTCTCTGCTTCTGTAGAACTTAAAATGATTCCATCTGCCCCCATATCCCATAGCCTCACAAGCCAGGTGGCCACAGGCTCCTTCATAGCTTGTTTAAAAATCTTTCCCAGTTCTAATAGTTCTGGTGCAAGTATTCGCTGATTACCATGGTCTCCTGCACCAGGCTGTTGTTAAGACCTCCATCAGCATGTTGGACCATGGATTTTCCCTTTCTTTGAATGAAAAGTTCAGACCCAAGGAGCATCTCCCACTATCTCTAGGTCACTTCCTTCTTCCTCACTGCCTGACTCTTCCCAGGGGTTCCAGGCTTTGGGGGCCCAGGATGGGCCTTTTATTATCATTCTGATCTGGGCTTTTTTCCACTTTTGACCTCCTAGATGTAAAAAACTGCACGCCAACACCTCCATCTCCTTTTCTCTCTTATCTAATTCACTGGCAAGGTCAGAGGCCAGTACGAAAGAGGCCAGCTTCATCCCTCTCCTAGCCCAATTCCTCTCTAACACCTTCAGTTTCCCTTCTGGCTAAGGCCTCCACCTGGGACAGATTTCTTATTATCAATAGCAGTGGCCAAGCAACCTCTGCAGCTACTTTTTGGCATTTCTGTCCCTGGCGTGCTACTCCCAGAGACTGTAGAATCTGTTCCAGACCTTCTGCTGTTTTTAGGTGCCTCTCCATACTCACGTGGTGGCCCCCACTGGTCAAGCAGGCGTGCCACCCCATACCATCTACAAGATGGCTGCCACCCTGGGATCTCTCCCATCGACCTTGACTGTTTAGAAGGTCTCACTCTAGTTACACTGTCCACTGCATTAACCATGTCACTGCAGCCACCCCCACCAAGCCTATGGGAATGGCCCACCAGGTTAACATTTCCTCAGCCCACCCTCTCCCCTCCCCCCACTTTACTTCGGTTGTTGGTCTCTTTCCCCATATCAGGGACATTACCAATGCTCTTCCAAAACTCATTCTTAGCTTCATCATATCCTGCTGGGCTACGCCAATTGTAAGTCAAATTCACTGCTGGGAGGTGCACGTGGCATCCAGTCCCCTCCTCCCTTGATCCTTGCAACAGCCTGAGGAAAAAATTCTCAAACCCTGGGGTTTGAAGAATTTTTAATGAGTTTATTGGACTTACTAACTGAGCTTGGGGTGTGGGTTTACTTACAGACAAGCGGGTGCCCGCCCCCCATTCATGGCTGTGTTCAAAAGTCCACACCCAGACATAAGTCCTGTGGTTCAGGACAGACTTACAAAGTGGCAAGAGACCAGCCTCATGGTTTTCCCAGTTTTTACACCCTTAGCCCCTCCCCTGCAAGTGGCTATGGTCAACTGATTGGCTGGAAGAGGGAAGGGGAGTGACTTCTTTGCAGAGCATGGGAAGGAGACGGGCCCATGGCTTGTCATCACAGGGTCAGAGGAACATTCTCTGGGTCACATTTACACAGCGAAAGAATGACAAAGAGGGATACAGGGGGCAGGGAAAGAGGATAGAGACGGAGAGACTCGGGCTCAGAGGCACAAGAGAGAGGGTGAGGGAGAAGGAGAGGGAGGGGAGGAGAAAAAAGAAGGTAAGAGATGGGTATAGAGAAATGCCGTTCTGGCATTATGGTGCACACCTGTCATCCCAACACTCAGGGAAATAAAGCAGGAGGATCATTCATTCACAGCTGGGGGGGGGGGGCGAGGAAGAGACGGGTGTCCTGGAGAAAGGGAAAGGAAAGGCTGCTTTGGGTGTGCAGAAGGGTGTGTCTTCGGGTTGAATGGAGGGTACAGACAACACAGACAGGAAGGCTGAGCCCTGGGGGTGGGGGAGGGAGCGTGCACAGGAAGGACAATCGGGGTGCAGAAGCACAGAGCCAGAGCAACAGGAAGGAAATGGGGAGTTCAAGACGACCAGAAGTTCAAGATCATCCTCAGCTTGTAATGGAGTTCAAAGCCACTGGGGCTAAAATGACACAATGTCATAAAAACTCTGTGTGTCAGAGGCAAAATCTGGACTTAGGAAAAGAAGGCAAAGGAAACAGGAGGAACGGCCGACAAACTGAGAGCAGGAACTGTGGGTTTTT